AAATTATTTCAAATGGGTGTCACAGTAATTAAGCTCTTGCAAAAAGAAGTGATAATAGCTGCTCTTTATGCACCTACTATAAAACTTGATGTGTTTGAGCATTCCTCTTGATGAGATGACATGTGACAATTAATCTGCAGCTCTTCCTTTACAAAGGTTTGTGCTTGGTGCAGTCAAGACTCAGTCATGTTGGACTTCTCCAGGTGCAGCATTTTAAGCATCTGTGGAAGTCTTGTGGGACTTCAGTGTCTGGCATCCACCAGTAGATTAATGGCAGTTTAAATATATTCTCTGAAAGTGCTACATAATTTCCACTTTTGGTGCTTGCAGAAATAGCTACATATTCTCTATAGAAAGAAAAGAAGTTGGAAGTTCACTATTTAAAAACAAAAGACCTGCTTCACAGGCTTTCCGAAGATTATTTCAATTCAAAGGCTTTAAGAGAGGCTGAGACTTTGAGAACCACTTCCTAGTAGCAGGCTGAGAAATATTATTATTCCCTGAGCAAGGAAGGCTGAACCTAGAACCCTGTTTTGGGCTGCAGACAAATAGAGCAGGATCCAGCAGAGGGCAACTAAGATGGTCAGAGGTGCACAACTTGCAAGGGCAGGCTGAGAAAAAACAGGCTTGTTTGGTCTAGCAAAGAGAAGGCTATGGGCAACCTGCAGCAACTTCAGAGCAGTTACAAAAATGACGCAGCCAAACTCTTTCTGGTAGTGCCAGTGATATGCTAGGAGGCTGTGGTCACAAAGCTTTGGGGTAGGAAAATGCTGTTCATTAGAACTGCACTGCAGTGCAGTAGCAGGGAACCTGAGAGGCTGTGCAAGCTTCACCCTTGCTGGGCTCAGATCCACAAAGCACGCTGAGCTAATCCTCTGCTGGCACCAGTCTGGCCTGAGTTGGAAGCTGCACTAGGCATCTCCCTCAGGTCTCCCCTAAGAAACAATTCTTAGGTCATTTCAGAGCAATAGAACTAATCTCAAACTAGGATCCCTTCTGCATGTGGAAATATTTCAGAAAGGATAATCAGAGATATTTCACTTTCGGGAGAATATACATAAGTACAACAAACTGGGATTAGACAAGGCAGCAACCTGACAACGCTTTTCATAGAAGCTGCACAGTTGCCTGACTGAATCATAAATTGGGTGCTTCAATGGTTCCTTCACACCCGTTGTTGCCATACATTCAAAATAGGGTCAGTTAGGATTGCTTCCCTTTTGAATAGACTTCTTTTTAATTTGATATTCCAGGGAGAATATTTTAACAGCTCATTGGTTCAACACTTTGTCAGGGAAGCAGACGTGTTTGGGATGAGGCAGCCCTGTGCAGTCCTTTCCCATCTCAGAGCGGTCTCAGATTTGTCACCTATGGCTCATAACACAGCAGTGACAGAGGGAAGTTGAAGAACAAAACATGAATTGGCAAAGACTCTATTAAATATAGAGATAACTTATCCAAAGATCCCACTTCACAAATATTAATTCTCATCAGCCAGTGCTGTTCTACTTGACAAGAGATCTGTACTTTTGATTCAGCATTAACACCATCATACAGAGACACCAATATTTTGCTTGGCCAGGGAAAAGTTAAACCAGTGTAAGAACATTTACAGAAGTTCAATATCATCCACAATAAAAACACTGTACTTCTTCACCTGTATCACTGCAAACAAAAAGCACCATGTTTTTTTACAGATCTCCAGCAGTATTGCTACTGCTTAACTGTACAGCCCAGGGAAGCAAAAACACTCATCTTGAGTACATTTACATCACTCCAACCAACCTTGAGAGCACGCTCTAAGAAACCCCATTTGAGCTACATGAAGTGATTTGATTATGAACACAGAGTGATTGGATTAGCAGCTGATGACTTAGAAGCCAAGCTGCTGCATCCCCACTGAATTACCAACTCCACAAGCAGCACCACTCCACCTTCAATCTAACCTGCCACACAGGGTGAGGGTTTCAGGAATCGAGCATCTGCTTTCCTTGAGCTTCTTTAGACAGCAAGTAAACAAATACACCACATTTATATGTTGCCTCATACTGAACCAAAAACAAACTCATGTGCTGCCACAACACATCAACAGCTCACATATTGGAATCAAAATGACTGTATTTCACAGGCTACAGCATTCATTTTCTAAGTGAAATAATGATAGAAAGAAGGCTGGCATCAAGCTTACCAGAAGGCCGTAGTGTCCAAGTGAAAGCAGCATTTCTCAGATCTAGTAATCAGCAAACAGGGCAGGGAAAAAAAAAAGAAAAAAGGAACACTTAATCATGTGGACATAACCATCCAGATACAAACATAAGACCATATTTCCACTCAGTAGAACTGATGCTATGTGAGAAACAGACTCCCTTGTACCTGGACATGGAAAGAGGTAGGGGACAAAGTTGTTGCCCTTCAACTCAGACCTATTAGTTACTCAATGCTTGACCACTGCCAGGCTCAGGTAAGTATCAACTCACTCAACCACAGGAACTTGGAGCCATCTGCCTGTCCCCTTGGTTTAAACTTCTTTGATATATGTCACTTGAATTGTGTGTATTAGCTAACGTACCGAAATAACCTTTAAACTAATGTGAGAGAGATGCTTGAAGAAAGTTGTGTAGACAGCCCCTAATCTGATGCTGGCCGAGGAGAAACAACAGCAACAAAGGGTTAGCTGCTTATGGGAAAGGACTGTAGTAGAAGCCTGCTGGTTCTGTACAGGGGTTCTGGCTTGTAAACAGCTTGTTGAAAAATTTGCAAGAAACTGACTTTTTTTTGTTTTCCTCCAAAAGAGGGACAAAAAAGCCTGTATTTGTCAGCATCACTTCAAGGTTACCTTCTGCTTCTCCAGAATATATCTGGCTGAGTTAACCTATAGTGTGCTCATTGTGCTGAGCCTACCTCCACCCATCTGATCCTAATTAGCTACCAGCCAGGGCTTTCCTGTGCTGACTGGGAAACCTTTATGGGAGTTAGCAGCCCTCCTACGCTCTCCCCCATCCCCCAAGAAGCGAAGAAATCATGCTGAAAACATATTTTAACTCAGCAGGGATTTCTTCTCAGAGACGTTATTATGACAAGGTGAAATAAAATTAATGATTTTACCCAAACTATGCAAGGCTATGACTTTCTGAGAATTTATCTGAGGCTTTTATCGTTCAGCTCAGAATGCGATGTGTTGTGTTTCATGTTATTTACTGGAGAAATGCAGCCAGAACGTTTGGCACGTGGGAAGCACCAATGTTCAATCCAGCACACTGCTCTTCGATTGGTATAGAGCATTCATAAGCCCAACAGTTTCTCCTCCAAAATCTTTATCACAGTATCACTGAGAACATGTACCTAATTGAGTCTGCACTTAATTCTAAAACCAATCCGTGTTTGACTCAAAACATGAGGAAAAGATGTGGAAAAACAAAAGTAATCTGGAATCTTCCTACCGGTGTTTTAAGACATAACAAACTACAGCAATTTATTTCACCATATCCAGTTGTAATGTTAAACCATGGATAAACATTACCAATGTAGCAAAGAATGTGTTTCTTCTTCCTGACGGAGGTCCAAGATTGCCCTCTTGAGTATGCCAGACAGCATGGGGTACTTCATTCACCACGTGATTGGCACACGCTTTACTTTTGAATCACTTTGGAGATGAAATTGTTGGCTAAAGCTCTGGAAATTCTGACTGCAGTGTTGTCAGGCAGGCTGCTTTTACTTTGAGAGAAAATAATTCCTTTTAATAGCACTATGTTACTTGGCTTTTTATCTGTTTTTACATTGTTCGATGAGGTTTTGCACCTCTGCATGTTTTGCTGCACTCCAAGAACTTTAGTAAAGGGAACTGCATTTTAAAAAAGTTTGTTGCTTTTTCACGAGCATCAAAAATTGCTACATTTGGGGAAATATTCTAATGCAATCTATTTTGATGGAACACAGAACTGTCACCCCTTGCAGCCAATTCAAAAAGATGTGTCCACTGAAGAGCACAAAGCATTTCTTAACGTAGCTCATCTTCATGGCATCTCTCACAGTGCAGGAAATTCTAAACGTTTAGGTTTATTTTTCCATTTATCTCATAAACAAAGAAAACATTCTGCATAGCAACAGGCTTATTTATAGCACGTTTTAAGATACACAGTTCTGTTTATTCTTTTATTGGCATTAATGGAAATGATCCAGAAGAGGAAAACACGTTATTTGGAGGTCTGACTCCAATCCCTCTCATGCCCTGCAGTCAGCCAGTATCTCGGGAGCAGCCTTTGAAGGACTGGTTCTGACTGCACCTCCTGAGGGACACATAAGCACAAAAGCACCAGTCCTTCCCAGAGCTAGCCCACCTCAGCCTCCACATTGCAGAGACTTCCACTTCCAGCCTGAGCTTTTTTCCTTTTTGCCTTACTGCCATGAGCGACACATACCTACATGCATACACTTACATTTTCCAGAATTACCATCTTGCACTGCAATCTCACACTCAGGTTCTGTCATCTAGTTTCCCTAATTGCAAGTAACACACATTCATATCCATACAACCTTTCAGAAAAGTTTATCTCATACCTGAACGTGCAGTTTTGGTTCTCTGCTGCAGTGAACCCTCAAAGATTCGGTTCCATTGTACAGTTCTGTCAACACAGATGCTGTCAGCTGCATGAGGTACAGTGATACCATTGATCCTGAAGTTGAAGGGGCTTTTGTATGAAGATCACCATCAACCAGTATCAAATAACACAACTACAGTCCCTACCTCTGTATTCGTAATACAGGTATTTCTGAAAGTATGTACCATCATGCTGTTCTTCATAGTGCTCTTCTTCACTGCATTTTTTGAGCAAAGCAAGTCTCCAGAGTAGCACAGGAATGCTGATTTAATGAACTCTCAGCTGTATTACCACTTTATTCACTTTACACGTGTTTATTTCATCCTTTGAGTGACAAGTAGTTGAGATCTCCAGAAAAGGCTCTGATGATGATAAATCAGTGCTACAAAGATGGTATTGTAATTAAGATGATTTATTTGGCTGCATGTTGTTTTCATTCTGAGGAACAGGTTTGTCAGTGCAGGATTTTTCTGAGAAGTGCTTTGGGTACTGCCTAGAGATCTGGCTCTTGTCTTTCACAAACGATGTCTGATAAATGGTTAAGCCATCTTCGCTCCTTCTAACCGGTTCTGAAGCCCACTGGAAGAAGTTCTGTGAGTTCTGCTGCCTTCTGTGTGGTTCCACCTTCCTTCGGCCCAAACCCTAGAAAAAGATGGAAAGAAAAAGCCATGTAAACATATGACTTTCAATCACAGTTTCACAGATGAAGCTTGTAACAGTCACTACCCCACTGGAAGCTAACGAAGCTGTTACCACAGTGATTTCAAGAATTCATGGTTGATCTTTAGCAAGTTAAAAATAATATTGCCAGACTTGCCTGTATGAACATTTTGGTTGCATATATAATGGGAAACATGCTGACTTACCATCCAACACTACTAACAAACCACTTCCTTTTTGCACTTCTCTAGCATACTATCTACTCCAAGCTATTTGGCTGTATTTGCCTAAACTAATCTTCAGAGAAACCCAAACAATTAGGTTAACAATTTGATGTTTAGACTGCAATAAGGAAATCGAGACTACAAAATCTGAATCTTCAAAACTATCCCTTGTGTCCAAACACAGAGAGATGGAGCCTGACTTCTGCACTCTGCAGCTTGCAGGAAATTTATTGCAACGATGCTTGATCAGCATATTGAACTTTCTGATCCTTGTTAGTGCTGGGTACTCACCAAATCAAAATACTCTCCTACATTCTGTAGACAGTGTCTGTTGTCATGAGAAGAAAATGGGAAGTTGTTGTTCACTGCACTCTGAAAAAAAAGAAACCACAGGAAAAAACATGAATTTTCACAAGTTGCTTGGAATTCTACTAGTCTTAGTTCTTATATTCCGGCAGATGCCAAACTTGCAGCTGCCTACACTCTAACACAGAAGGCATTCTCATATATTAGATCTTAATTTGCACATAATTTTACTGGGACAAAATGGACCCGACCCCCTGTAGGTTCCAATGGCTTTTATTTCTCATGAAATCATGGAGAAGTTTTGTGCTCCTGGACTTGTTGAACATACACATGATTAATATAAAAGTGTGAATTTTCAAATGAGAAATGCTACATACTGCCTACAAATAGCAAAATGTAAGAAATACGTCAGGATTGCCTTGTTTTACTCACTAGCAAGCCCAAAGCTAATTAAAATGAACTACAAAAGGGACCTCAAAACTGAACTAATCTGTGATTTATGTACTGAATGGCAAGTGCATTGCTTGTTGCAGGGGAGGTGGAAGAGCTATTGATCGCATAACTAATTTATAATCTCATTTTTTAACAGCGTTTATCCAGACTGTAAAGTGGAACAAGTTTTATTAAAAAAAAAAAAAAGGACAAATGCAAAATTTAACATATTTCTTTAAGTTTATTATATATAATTGCAATAATTTTAAAAGAGCTAAAAAGTGAAACACCAAGCATCCTTCTGGATCATCAGATGGCCCCTGTACTTCCTGAAACATTATTTTCCTGTCATGTTGGGAATCTGATTTTTTCTTTTTCTGCAAATGCTGTAGTGATTTTCATGTTCAATGTTGAGGAATGTTGTTTTTGTTTTTCTTACTGTGATATTCACCTCCAAACAGAAGAGGAAGATTTAATTTAATGAAAAATTAAAAATGCTGAGTTTCTGAAAAAAAAAACCAAAACAGATAAATGTGACTGAAGTGCTTTTACAGGGCTACCTTACACACAGATTTCGGACTGAAGTCAGCCACAGTACATTCTGGCATGCAGGCGTGTCTCATAACTACAAGGGAAAAGTAGCTGATGCTGGAGAGCAGCAGGACTTTGACTATCCCAAGTTATAACCGTGTAACAGCAAAATACATTCCTTCCTCAGCACAGCTGGCCATCATCTCACTCCCTGAGGCACGAAGTCTGCCAGCCTGCTGTAACTACCACAGATACAAGTCTCTTCTTTATAACTCAGCAAATGGTGCCCTGCAAACAGCCTGCCTGTCACAGGCTGTATGTGCACAGCTACCCACCTGTTCCCTTGCCCGGAACGCGGCTGGCAGCCGATCCTCCGCGCTCCGTGCCGCCTGCAGGTCCTGGCCCTGCCTCTGCGCGGAGTGCGTGGTGGACTCCAGCTGGCCCTGGCATTGTCCAACATGTGCAAACTGCAAAGGAATGGCAATGGCGATCGTTGGTATAAAGCAATCCCACCAGAAATGTGGGTAACATCCTATTTTCCCAGTTGTTTTTTTGTATTATTTGTATTGGAGCAGCCCCTAGCGGCCCTTGGCAGAAGCGCGGGGAGCGTCCCACGCACAGCACAACCCTTCCACATACAACAAACACCACCGTTTCTCCAAGAACTTGCTGGGAATTGTTTGTATAATGATACACAGTCTAGTAAAAACATTTATGCTGTAGAGCCCTTTTATTTTATTTTTTTTCTTTTTTCCCATGCTGTCTGTATAACAGTAGATTTAAAAGCATAAAGGTTTTTGGGGACTCAGCCAAGTTTTAGGCCTGAGTGAAGGAACCCCTCCAGTACTGCCAGTCAGGATATGGGATGCTGATGGAGCTGGCAGGGCAGCAGCTGGAGGAAACGTCAGCTGGCAGTCCCAAAGATAATCAATCAGGGCTAAATATTAAGGAAGAGACTACTAGCATTGCTGGAAAACTGTAACTCTAAATAGCCAGGGCATTTTTCCTTTACAAACATCAGGAACACAAAGAAACACAGAATCACAGAATGGCCAGGGTTGGAAGGGACTCAAGCATTATGAATCTCCAACCCGCTGCCACACGCAGGGCCACCAACCTCCCACTTAATACCAGCCCAGGCTGCCCAGGGCCCCATCCAACCTGGCCTTGAACACCTCCAGGGATGGACGGGGCATCCACAGCCTCTCTGGGCAGCTGTTCCAGCACCTCACCACTCTCATAGGAAAGAAACCCTTGCTTCCCCTGCAGGTGCTGGTGTGGCTGAGGGCAGCCCGAGCTCTCTGACTAAAGGACAACTTCACCCTCATCACATCACTTTTCCCACAGATGAAGGATAAAGAATCCCTGTGGGATCAGCAGCCCCACAGCAGCCCCTCCTGCTGCCCTTCCCTTCCCTTACCCAGGCGCCGGCGCTCTCTGTGTTGAGGTTTGGGCACCTGCTCTTTGGCATGGCTCTGCGCCGGCTGCCAGCCCTGGCAGCTCTGAGCCTTTCCCGCTCAGAACACTGGTTGCCATGGAGGGTGTTTGTCCCCCTCACACAGGGTCAGGAGGCCCCACAGCTCCTTGGAGACAGTGTGGGGAAGAAGCTCACACAGAATGCCTTCTGAGCACTGTTCCATGCCACCCTGCCCTGCTCTGCCCAGAGCAGTGGGGAGATGCCCACTGGCAAGTGACTGGAGATTGCATCTCCTTTCAGCAAACCCTCTGCACCAGGTAAAGCTTGCGGGATGTCTGTATCTTCAGTTCAGAAGTCGATTGACAACAGTAATTATTTTGCTTTTTACAAGTATTTTTGCTGTGACTGACGTTTCTCTATTGCAACATTTACTTTTTCAGCAACTGCATCCAAGCAGATTTTGTGAAAATTCATTAATGTTGTCTTTTGAGTCTTCTGCCTTTGCCTTTGGTGAGACTGTTGTGAAGTGGTTCTGGTGTTTCATTAAGATCAACAGATGAGCAAAGAGAACGCTGCTCTCACTGGACCGCTATGCTTGCAAAAACAAGGAGCACTCTTGAGTCTGTCCTCAAATGGGAAAGAAACAATTTGATTTAAAATGATTCATTAATTCTTCAATCACTTCAGTAACACAGTGTGAATGGTGTGTCAGAAGAAAGGACAGTCATTGGGGAAAAATCACACACGGCACCAAGTGTGCATTATTTCTAAGATGCAATATCACGCTCCTTTCAATATTGCTTTACACAAATGCATGTCTTAAACACCCAACCTGTATTTCCTTATAAAAAAGCTGATATCACTAGAGGGATTTTTTTGCCTTCAAGTCTGAGGGCTGACCTGCAAACATCTATACTACGTAATTGCTCTGCACTGCTGGGCATGGGTAAAGGAGATGAGTAGGGATGAGTCTGTGAAGGAAGTGGGACCGTCGGGCACAAGTCAGGGACAACAGCAGGGACGGGTCTGTGAAGGGATTGAGATGTAGGTGCCCTGCCGTGTGGCAGTGGCTTTGCAACATGGCGATGATCTGCACAGTGGCTGTCCTGAGAAGTCTTAGTGTGTTCTTTCCTGTTCCCAATACAGTCTCAAAGCTGAATGTAGCAGATGTTTTCGTACACAGAAGGTTCTGTAATATATTTCTGAAGAAACGGAGAACAAGCCAAAATGTAAGGCTTCTTTCATAGAAAGAAAAACTGAGGCAGAGAGAGTAAGGCCTTGCTTGTGTCAAGGAAGGGGTGTAGCCAAGGCCAAAGTCACAAAATGAAGCACAAAACAGGACTTTGCCTCCCGGACCTTGAGAGACTGTCAAGAAGATGACACTGAAATGGCTCTGGCACCAGCCTGCTTTCCAGCATATTGACATTCAAGGATAAAGTGGGTGGGAATCAGATGCTATAGCTGGCAAATGAAATGAGAGAAACTGTGGTACTTGCATTGGTTAAGTATGAATGATTCAGACAGTCACAGCCATTTATTCTAAAGGAAATTACGAAGTTGCTGCAGGAAATCGAGTTCTCCATCTTACTATCAGACACACGTAATGATATTTGGGGATACTAGCTGCCTTGCTGCCACTTCTCAAGGCTTTCTTCTAAATGACCTATTTTGTCTCTCTAGGTGTCCACTGAAGTTTTGATAATAACTTAGATAAGAGTGAGATAAGAGTGATACTTTGGATGTTGTTATTAACGATGCCACGCTGTTAGTTACTTTTAAGCACAAAAGCAATCGACTTCTACGGTGATTTACAGAGGAGAATGCAAAGTTGGCTTATGAAAAATAAGCTGTTCCATAATGCAATTTTGGTGGAGAAAACAAATAACCAAAGCTGCAAGCACGCTGTGGGATCAACATCTTTCGAAAGGCTCAGGTGATCGCATTGTCCTCTCAGCCTTGAGCCTAATGAGCTGCACTGACGTCTGCGTGCGCCGGCATCAGCTGGGGGAACTGCAGAGATAAATCACACTGCTTTTCAGACTGAGGAAGTCAGTGACAGAAATGAGAAGGATAATGCAGAATGTGACCAACAGAGAACAAAATTACAGTTTGTTCTCAATCCATGTCATTCCAGATTCAGTAACTCCAGGCTCCTTATTGCCAGCTCAGACAAACAGCGTTGTGGTTTGAAGCACCTGCTGGCAGCTGTTTTCTTTTTCCTGAACAGTTTTGCTTTCGCTGCTGTTTTCAAGCGAGATATTGATGAAGTCGAAACCAAAAAGTTTAAGGAGGAAACTTAGAAAGTTCCCACCCTAAAACCACAGAAAGGCTCTAAAGGAATGTAATAATTAAGGTGTTCTCTCTTCAGTAGGTTGCATGCAGGTATTTCCACACAAATTTACCGCATTATTGTTTCTAAGAGGTGTGCTTTGTACCAGTAAACATATGCAAAGCTAGAGAGGTTTCGCTCGGTTTGTAAGAGAAACAAGACTCGCACAACCACGCCGCGAGCCTACAGACGAACGCTCAGCACTTCGCGCCCTCAGACCGCCCTGAGAAACCGCCCGCCCTGAGGAACCGCCCGCCCCGCCTCTTTCCCGCCCATCAGCGCCGCGGCCCCGCCCTGCCCTCAGGCCCCGCCCCACGCTTTCCCATTGGCCGACTCCTTTCCTCCCCGCCTTCCGCGCCCCCTGGGACTTCACGGGAAAGCGCGCGAGAAGCGCCGGCGCTGTCGTGACGTCACGTAGCGTCACGTGAGAGCGTCACGTGAGGCGCCGCGGGGCGCTGGCGGCCCCCTGACCCCGCCGCTGCCGTTACCGCCGCAGGGAGCGGGCGGAAGATGGCGGAGCTGTGCGGCCTCGGGGCCGCCGCCTCTCTGAGGGGAGACGCGGAGGAGCCCAAGCAGGTGACGGCTGGGGCGCGGCCCGGGGGTTCTGTGGGTTCCCGCACAGGTGCGAGCGCCGCTTTCAGGTGTGAGGGAGGCAGGAAGGCGCTCGTTGTGATTGAGCTGTAATTGCAGGCAGTGTTCTCGTCCTTACGTTTAAGTGCGTTTTAATTACCTAAATGATATGCCGTGGATCCGTTTCTCCTTTTAAGTGTGTCATTACAAAGCTTTCCGCGTAGTTTAGCGGCGTGTTTTGTTGCTTGTGTCACTCGCCCTGAAAGCGCTTAGCAGGACGGGTCGTCCTGTGCCTTCAGAGCCACAGAAACGCCAACTGATTCCCCTTTGGAAAGCAGGGCTCGGTGCTGTTCCTTGGAGGCAATGAGGTGAAGAGCAGCGCTGTGGTGAAGTACTCCTCGGCCCCACCGCAGGCAGCCTTTGCCTGGCTGCAGGAGAAGACAGACCTGAAGCTGCCGCCTGCAAATTGGTTACGTGAAAGTGCCAAGCTGGGACCTGCGGGCACGACTGTTCTGGGCAACAACAAGAAAAGCACACCGTTCTCGAGGTACCTGCAGCAGGTTCTGTTGGTTTTTTCCAGATCTTTAAGACTAAATCCAATAGAAGGTTGAAGTTCACTAAAATTTTTCCTGTAACAGCGAGGTATCACTCCTACTTTTCCATCCTCTGTTTCTGCCTTTATGCTGTCTCCTTTGTAAATGATTAATGATGCCCTTCATGCTGAAGGACTTTATTTTTTCAGGTGCGTAATGACAGCTTCCGTGAGGCAATGATTCTGACTTTGTGTCTTCATGTTCTTCTCAGGCTGGCTGTTAAAAGTCAAATTTATCAAAATTAAACTAGCCTGCTTGAGCTAGCCACTCTGCTTTTGGTAGGGGCTGAAAATGGTACAAGTGTGGTTTTCTTGGGCAGTCAAGGATCAAGCTTATGGCTGGTCTGGTTCTATATAAATTGGAACTGGCTAACTAATAGCAGAAAAAAGCTTTGTAGCCATGTCAAAAGTGAACACAAAAAGGAAAACCTGGGGACAAACCCAGAAAGTGGTGTTATCTTTATGCACAGATGCTTGCAAAACAGTTGAATGAAGCAAGTTCAGAATGTTTAGAAATAAGGGTTTTAAATCCTCTGCTGAGCAGGCAAATTCACAGTAAATCAACTAGTTAATGAAATTTACCAGTTTGCTGAGGGTCTTTGTTTAAATAAATCCTCATAATCAAATTTTAGGTGATAAAGAGACAACAGCAGGACAACTTGTTGAAACCAAAAAATCATAGGTATTAAACAAATCACAAACTGCTTTATGGCATATTTTGAACTTGAATCTCAACTTTTCCAATAATAGCTTTGGAAAATATTTTTGTCAGAACAGTTCTGTTAACTAGCCTTAGGCCTCATTATATCTAGTAACACGTAGCTAGAGACTAGTTTTTTTAATTCTGGAAAAGCTTTCGGAGTGTTTCCTTGCTTTGCAAGGCAAGTTATTTGATGTCCCTCCACTTAATGACTTGAACTGTTTTCTCTGTAGCTTTGGAATGGCATATGACTTCATTGACTCCATTGGAAATGATGTGGATGTTGTGTCTGATTCAGAGGTTTGTGTAACTTTTATCATTCAAACTTATGCCTTGTATAAACCTTACCATAAGCTACTGTCCTGTCTCCTGTTGTCTTTGTGTTTATTGAGGGAAAGCAAAGATCTACTGAAACAGCTCTGCATCATTCAGATAAGATGATTCAGAGGAAAGAAGATGGATGTTGTCTTATGTGTTTCTCTTGGACAGATAACTGCTCTGACTTAGAACTCTGTTCAGGTGCCCTCTGCATACCTGACAAATTGTTATTTCTGTGGTGAAGATTAAACTTTCAGCTCCAAACCATAAACTTTTTCTTAGTCACTTTTGGTGGTACTTGGTTATGATGATCCAAGAGATAATATTTAAATGCAGTACACAGTTTATACTGGTGACTTGACACCATCATTTGCCATTGATTTCTTTTTTTTTATTACTGCTGTTCACATTCTCATACCTGACCTCAGCAAATGCAGCTTCTTGAGAGATGGTCTTAAAATTTCTGCCTCTATAAGGCTTTATTTTTCTGGCCATGCCTTTCCAATGTTAAGAATGTATCCTTTGTGTCCAGTTTCCTAAGAATT